TAGAATGGGATTCTAACACTGAAGATATTACCTAGCCGGGTAATGAAACATTTGCAAGAAAAGAACCAAGCTCAGAGAACCCCGAGGACCTCAGTATACTTTTAAGAATTGCTTGAAGATAAGTAAGTGCCCTTTTGCTTTTTGCTTTTTCTTGGTTTTGGGAGCAATCTTATCTTGGCAGAGGAATTCTTTATAAAAATTTTATAATAGCTTTAAAGTATCTGTTCCTTATGGACTAGATTGCTATTTCTGCTCCTTTTATATCAGTATCGTATCAGCTGCTCCAGATCTTGAGCTTCCTTTTTCTTTTATTTTTTTATTATGGTACTTTTAACTGATGAAGTAGTTTATTACTCTATCTTGATGGCTTCCACTTTGGGTAATGTGCTTTGTTTCTGTAATGCATGAACTATACCTTTTCATGTGTCACTTTCTGTCATCTCATTCTAAATGGCAATTATGAATTTATGATCTGAATATCTGACCTAGTGAGATCCTCAAGTTTTATTTATATCATTTCACCTTGCAGTAAATTGAGAAAGTTTTCAATTGTATGGCTACTGATTTATCAGTTATAAATATAAATTAGTTCTGTCTGGAAGGACTGATTCCATATTTTTATTTAAGGTTCTGTATAATATGTTTCAAATATTAATTGCAGGAGAATGCTAGTGGGAAATATTTCAAACTCATGTTCTGTCTGTAGGCTTGTCACAGCATCTGGTCAGCCACTGTATCACACAAAATAAGGCATTAGTTGGGTTCTGATCTGATTCAGAAAGAACATTAATGTATTCTTACAAATATATTAATCAGTTGAAAAGCTCTTTTCAAGGATAAAGTGTTTCCAAAGATAAGTTTTATGCTGCAATTATATCTGACCCTCAAGAGAAGTGCAATGTAGATTATACTTTTCTATGTAAATTCAGTGACCCAATATTTGTTCAGAACCAAAAGCTTAGCATCTTTTATGTCAATAAAGCTATGTTAATACATTACTTTGCATATATTTCAAAGTAGAAGTGCCATTTTTTAAAAAAATGGTAACAGATTTTAAATTTTATGTATTTTAAAAGATTTTGTGCCTTATCAATAAATTTTGAGGCTATGGGAAATTACTGTTCATTAAAAAGAAATAAAAAATATCAGCAGATTTTTGCATGCTTCTCTTCAACAAACTTAAAATGCCATTGTATCAAAAGAAGCATGTATTCTCGGTTCTCTTTTTTGCTTCTCTTGTGCTTGAACCAGCTTGTACCATGATTTGTTTGCTAAAGTGAAAAGTTTGATCAAATTAAAAGGCCTCAGCCATACTGATTTAAGGATTATGCCAGATGTTGTCACTGAAACCAGTATAAAATATCACTTATACACAAGCTTAAGTTAAGGAAAAATGTAAGAATAAATTGCTGATATTTTTTTTGAGTGATTACATTTTCTATTAATATTGTTGAAACAGTTTTACAATTATAAAAATGCTAACTGTTTAAAAATGTTCTTTTAGCTTACATCTAAGAATATACAGTGCATGAGGACGTTACTTAGCTTGGCTCATTGTCATGGAGCTGTCCTTGGTACATCTTGGCAACTTGTCTTAGCTACACTCCAGGTGAATTTTAAGTGATTTTTGGTTTGACTTAGACCTTCTTTAAACTTCTCATAAAAATGGATATATCACTTTCAGTGGCTGAGCAGTGAAATTTCTCCTACGATAAAAGTCAGCTCCATTCAATTTGTCAGACTTTTATTGTTAGAAATATGACAATTACCCTAGCTTTCGGTACCCAAACTTGGTCATCCCACCATGCATGCAGCCAGATGTTCTAATCACTTATCTACAGAATGGTTATACAGGGCTAGAATTATCTTTTGCTATTTTGCCTAAGCTTTTAAATTGAGATATGAACTTCTGGCACTTGGTCACAGAAGAACATACTTACATTTTTAAAGTAAATATTTTACAGAGGTATTTCAAATTTTAAAATGTTTCTTTGCATTTTAGCATCTTGTGTGGATTCTTGGTTTGAAACCAGGCACTGGAGGTGCTTTAAAGCCTGGAAGAGCTGTAGAAGGACCTAGCACAGTAAGTTATATATGTATATTTTTATTGAATAGTACAGTGATCATATGTATTTTTATTATACATAATAATTTTTGCAAATTATTTTGCAATTATTTCTTTTAGGTTCTAACTACGGCTGTTATGACTGATTTGCCAGTTATCTCCAACATTCTTTCCAAACTGTTTGAAAGTTCACAGTAAGAAAATGACTTTGCAAACCAAATTTTTAAATATATAGCTCTATAGTTCTGTCTCTGCCTGCCTGCCTGCCTGCCTGCCTGCCTGCCTGCCTGCCTGCCTGTCTATCTACTGTATCTCTTTCTTTTATAATTTTAACCGCTTTCCATTGCTGCAAAAACAATCCACTTTGGGATTGTTTTTTCTTATTCATCTTTGAAATAGTTTTAATACTTGATTTCTCTCCCCACTCCTTCCCCCCAGGTATCTGGATGATGTTTCATTACATCATTTAATAAATGCACTTTGTTCATTGTCTCTGGAAGCTATGGATATGGCTTATGGAAATAATAAGGTATGATATATTTAATGTTATTATATAAATCAACCAATTAATTCAGTTAAGTTTATCTATAAATTATATAAATAAATTATAAACATTAAATTATATACTTCAGAACTTTATATAAATATATCAATAATTTATATAAATTAACCCTTGTAAACCTGCCATATGG